CGTGGCCGTTCCTAACCTTGGTCTGTATGGAATTGACTCGGAGGAAAGTGGTACGAAATTCAGCCGGGAGTTTGTAAGTCATTGCGGAAAGTCAGTTTTTTCAGATCGATGTTTTTTATGTGTGTCTGAGCGGTGTAATGTCCCGTTGGAAAATGTTATCTTCCCGCTAGGAGCGTGGCCGTGGCAGCGGCAGGGGGGGGTGTTCTGGGGGCTGCGCTGCAGCCTGCGGGGCGGCGGCTCCGGGAAAGCCCTGGGAGCACAGGGGAGCAGGCTGCACTGGGGCTGGAGCAGCCCGGGTGGGTAACTGCATTGCGGGTTGTCTTGTTTGTGCTGCTGGCCAGGCTGGATGGTTGCAGGCCATAGGAGGGAAGACAGGCGGCTTTCCTGAGGCTGTCTGCTGTTGCTTCTACCTGTGAGAAGGCTGTATGTGAGATGCTGTATTTTTCCTTCCCTGTTACTGCTTGTTGGTAGAGATAAATTTGTGTTTTCATGTGAAAAGCAGAATTAATTGCAATAAACAGTATATATGTATTAGCTTTGGTGATTATGAGGGTGTGTCTTCTACACTTGTAAAATAAATCTGGAGTTGCACAGAAGGCCAAAATTTTATTTTTCTGTCACTTGTAGTAAGGAGTAAGCTCTTAAGTTATGCAAGTAAACTTATGCTTAAGCTTTCTGTGGCCTATCAATGTGGTAGTCAGGGACTACTAAAATATGCTTTCCATTGTCTTCCTTAGTTGGCTAATCCTCCGAATGAAACGTAGAGTGACTATAACATCTAATTTCTATATTTGCTTTTTCGTAGATATTGGTATTAACCTGACAGATCCTATGTTCAGAGGAATCTACAGAGGAACACAAAAACATCAAGGTAAATGTTTCTCTGTATCTGCTGAAAGTCAGGATCCCTCTTGTTAAAACAGAAACCTCTTTCATGACAGAATGTGAGGTTAGAGTTTCTATTTTCTCCTCAAAAACTGGATGGTTATTATTTACTAGGGCTTGAAAAAGAAAGTGTGACAAAATAAGTTAGATGTTCTAAGCAAAATACATTCTTTTCTCAACTGCTCTTAAGTTGTCATACAAGGTAACTGCTTCTAGAGCAAAATGGACAATTCCCGATCTATTTATATTAGGATTGCATGGAAAAACTGATCTGAGAATTATGAACAGTAAAGTATCAAAGTATTTCATTACTGAATCATAGTTACATATTTTAACTGATGCTTTTTTTGCTCTCATGGCCTTCAGATGTAGGTGTCAAAATAGAGAGTCTCCTAATGTATGTGGAAAAACTTCAGTTGACTTCTTGGATTTAAATTGGATCTTCAATAATTGCATTTTGTTATTGTCTTCTAAAGATTAATCAAGTGTGGTTTAAAGTTTATAGATGATAGGCATTTTGACTGCATGAAAGTAATTTTTAGTTGAAAAATAGTCAACCTATGCTGTAAAACCTTAAGTTCAATTTATGATATTTTTATTAACTTCTGCAGATGACTTTTTGGATGTGGTAGAGAGAGCAGTCAAAGTTGGCATTAAAAAGGTAATTTCTTATAATGAATTTTCTTTAATATTTTAAATGACTTTCTAATACTTTGTTTTTTTAGTGCTCCCCTGTTAAAACAAATGTTTCTGGTGTTTACAATGCAAAATGTGGTAGTAACTTTCTTCAATAGCATAAAGCGAAAGTGTTCTGTGTAGAGCAGTGTCTTTCGTTTGCACAGATCATTAGATGCTGATTAATTAGGTTCAGTGGTATCATATGGGATATGTCTGTAGAATTTATTTTGTGGAGTTGCAGCAGAAAGATTTCTCCTCTGACCTACTGCAATCAACTAGTACATAATTTTCCATGTTAGTTGTATTATAGGCAACCACTTCTTTCTTCTTCTATCCTGTTTGACTCTGTCCTGTCTGACCTGGTGCTGACTCTGATATGTAGCATGTGTAGGGCTAAGAGTTGTCCAAAAGCAGTGTAGTCATAATTTATTAGGACGTAGGATGCAAGATCCTGCAAGTGGTGGTTCAAAAAACAGTGGAAGCAACCATTCTGGTGTGATAACCTTTGATTTTAATGTAAAAATAAAATATTGGAACCAGAAATTCTTACATGTGTAATCCCAGCTCTGATACAGACTCCTTTGTTGGTTTATCTGTTTACTTACATCTTGTGTTGGGTGTTTGGCAGTTTTTAGTTTCTCCACCTGTAAAATGGAGAATATTTATGAATATAATTTCTTGAATGCAAATAAAAGTTTCTCAAGTCATTGTCTAATGAAGTTAATATTGTTGCAAATACAAGTATTTTACACTTTTAGTGGTTTAGATACTTAGAATAGAAGGTATTTGATAAAGAAAACAAGTAGGTTTTGATACTTAGTGTATTTACTAGCTCCTGCAGAAGACTGAGGTTTGTTACTGATTTATGAAATTTTGTAATTGTCTTCTGATGTCCTCTGTCTAGATTCTTACTTATATCTGAGTATTTTCTTAAACATTCTGTTTGATGTTCAAAGAAGAATGTGCTCACTGACAGTACTTTTCTTCTTCCAAGTTTTTGATTACAGGTGGGAGTCTACAAGATAGTAAAGACGCATTGCAGCTGGCACAGACAAATGGTATTTTCACTTTAAACTTCTGTTGTCAGTCAAAAATGTGGCCTTCTCCACTCTCAGAATTAAGAGTTCAAAAGGACCTGTCCCTGGAGGTGTTTACAGAATCTCAGATTAAAATGAGAAATTATGTTTCAGAAAGGGGTGAATGCGTTGTGTATGAGTTTCTGTGTGTTGCTCTTTAGATCCCTGGGTGTTGGAAGGAATCAGTCTTTCCTGAATTTGTATTTTTAGATAAAAATAGAAATTACAGGACATTTCTGGAATAAAAATTTTGTTACAACACTCTCTTCTAGAAATCAGATGGAATGCTTATATGGCATGGATTTTTTTTTTCTTGGTGGGTTTTTGCATGGTTTTTACTTACTGATCCATCATGACCAGCTTGAGCAAGAGAAATATATTTTTCTTTATGGTTCTCCTAGCTTTCCCGTTCTTTCTCTGAAAAAGCAAGTATCATTCCACTAATTACTTAAATATGTATTTGAACTAAAACACATGTTAAAGTACTATTTACAGAACAGAACCGTAGAATAATTTAGGTTGGAATGATTTTGAGGAGTTAATCTGGTCCAACCCAATCTACCTCCCCATGTCCATCAAAGAAGGGAAAGCTTTAGTATTAGGTCAAGTTGCTCGGGGCCTTATATATTCTTTCCCTCCCCTGATGCTTTTACATTGTCCATAAAGGCACTCAGCAGAAGTGTTAGTTTTGGCACTAAGGTGATCTAGATTAGGTATGTCGGTAAGTCAGGCTAGATGTTGCTTGCAGAATCCTGTAACAGCTAATGTAGAGGCACAAAAGGGAGATGGCATACTGTCTGCAAATCTTACAGCTGAGGATAACCTGATGCATTTTGAATGAGGTGTATTTCTAGGTGACATCAAGAGATCTCTTCCAGCCTCAACAATTGTATGATTTGTTGAGGGCCACTCCACCCGAATAATTCAGCTCTGAGTTGCAGTTTTGGAGTATATTAAAAATGTGTACTAAAAAGAAACACATGCACACTCCCCTCTAGAGATACTGTCATGATAACATTTTTAAAGCAGAAAACTTCAGTGTAATAAAATCACCATCATAAAGATGTTCAAAGGGAGTTTTGTTTTTAAATTATGATCAATGAAAAAAAACCTCTAGATGCAGATACTGTCTAATCTAATCTGTATCCTTTTTTTTTTTTTCTTGTGTTTAGACATGTTTTATAGTACAGTTGGCTGTCATCCTACCCGCTGTGGAGAATTTGAGCAGGGTAGCCCTGAACAGTATTTATCTGAATTAAAAAACCTGATTGAAAAAAATAAGACGAAGGTCATAGCAGTTGGAGAATGTGGCTTAGGTAAGTGTTATCTTAGTACTTCAGTTTTTCTTTTCTAGACATCTATTAAAAAATCCTAAAACACTGTGGGTTTTTTGTTTTTTCTGTTTGTAGATTTTGATAGATTAGAATTTTGCCCAAAGGACATCCAACTCAAGTAAGAAACTTTTGATGACTATAAATTGACTTGTAGCAATTTACAGAAGTGTTTTCTAGCTTGTGTTCTACCACGTAACACTGTGTCGGGTATAGACCTGCAGTTTGAAGGGTTAGATCTGGGTTTTTTTTTGCCAGAAATGAGACTTCAAAGAAAGATGCCTACATTCGAGTAGTTCTATGTGATGAATTTCGCTACCTGCCTGCTGTTGACTTAGCATGTCTTTTTCTGTAACATTGATCAGAATTTATCAGTTTCAGGGTGTGACAGATGTTGTTTCTTGCTAATAGTTCAGAACTCTTAGAGACTCACGGGGAAAATAGCATAACTGTAGTGTGTGAAAGCAGAATTGGGTTGTTGAGTGAAAGGCATGGGGAAGGGAACAGAACTGTCAAAAAGGATAAGTGAGAAGTGGGGAAAAATGAGCTTTTAGTAAGGGAGGTGTTAGATGGGAGCAGATAATTGAGAGCTGATGATAAAGGTGATCTCAGGAGGTGGAGAGATCTGTGCTTTGAAGTAATCTATGCGGCATAGATACCGCGGGGAAAGAAGCTGGCACAGCCCCTAAAGTCAGCTTGCGTTCTTGTATTGAGAACCTCTGTCTACAGAGAGAACTGACTGGAAGATACAAGTGATAGATTCAAATAAGATGAGTGATTAATGAATTGTGCTGGCATATTACTGTTCTGAGTAAATTAGTCACTGGGGGGCAGTGGTTAGTTGTGTTTTTTCTAATTGCCACATGTTAGCAGTAAGTAATTACTTCATAATGCTGCAGCCGTACAGTAAAATATTCATCAAAGTGGACAGAACGCTTTTCCTGTTAGAATTCGGTGTACACAATGTTCAGCAAAGCACACCTTGGAGCATACCCTGTTTCTTTCTGTGGCAAACTAAAACACGGGTGGAGTATCATATTTTAAGATCCTTATTGCCTTGGTGTTATTGGGAGAAAAAAATATATGTATGATTTTCCTTATCTGATGGACTGCAGCTGAAGACCTGTAGTGAAAAACTTCTAATCAGGTGCACTGAAATTGGGTTGTGAGGAAAGGTGACAGGTTGGAACAGAAATCACTTTTTAAATGATGAGTCCTTTCTAATTAAGGTTGACTATGACAGAAAGTCTTTATCTGAGCTATTTTAGTGAATGGAATGAAATACATAAATCTAGTTTCTAAGAGATCTATTGAGAGCCTTGCTGAAAATTGCATTTGGAAGGAGGTGATTGATCAAAAAACCAGAAAGCAAGAAATATGAGGGAGTGAAGAAATATTGAAAGCCTCAAGGACAGATGCCTGCAAACACTGTGTTTGTAAATTCTGTCTTTTCTAAATGGGCAGCTTTCCCTGCTCTCCATCTTCCACATGTTTGTGAAAGATGGTCAAAGTTTGGGGTGTTTTTTATTTCTGCTAATTGAATGCTATGGAGTTGTAGACAGACTGGCTTTCATGACCTGTAGCAAACTGGATGGCAAAGTCTTCAAATTAATATTCAGTGTATGCTTGATTAATGAACTAAAAAAAAAGGAAAGCGAAGTGTGAAATAAATGGAGGCAGTTCACTGGTTTTCAGCTGATCCGTAGTTCAGGTATTGTAACAGCTGCAGAGTTTATCCATAAAAGAGAAGTATGGTAGTTTCCCAGTAGGCAGAATCTGAGCGTGACCTCTGTTTTGTTTAATCAGTATTTTCTAGTTAAGTTATGCTGTGTTTTCTTCTGGAAAATTGTAATCTATAAAAAATGAACATTATTTTTATCCTGCTTCTTGGATTGAAAAGCTAAACGATGAAATTAGTTTGTTGAAGCAAACCTAAGAACATTTTTTGTCAGAATTTTTCTCCATTCTCATAAATTTTTCAACAGAAACTGGTGATTCGAATAGTACTTAGATGAATGTACTGCCTTCATATTATGGTGAAGATCATATTATAAATCGACTGATAAGTATATAGAAGTTTCACTTCTGCTGTACTACTGCAAAGGGTTTGTGAGGCTCAGCAACCTGGGAAACAGGAGTTTTCTTAACCAAATTAGAGAGGGTGAATGAAATTACATGCACTGTTACTCATACATGAATCCAGAGTTGTTTTGAGATCGTATCCCTCAGCAAGGCCAGTTAGCTTCAGGTCTTTAGTGCCTTGATCCCGAACCTGAAAATACCACAGCATTTGAACTTTATGGTCAAAACTGAGCCTTCAAACAGCCATGCAGAAATATTTTCAAACTTCCTTACTGAGAAGCAGCATAGAACCAGCGTATATTGAATGACAGTCTATTCACCCAAAAGAAAAAGTTTGTTCCTTAAGCCCCAGAACTAGTAAGATTTGGTTTCTTACTGAGTTCTTTTGTTACCATTCTAATCACTGTATGTCTGGTGTCTTCATGCTTTTCCAGGGTTTCTTTTTCCTCTCCTTCTACTCCCCTGCCCCCTCCAAGGAATTTCCTATCCACCTCCCTTTTCTCTTTGACAGGGCAAGTAGCAGCATGTGTTGGGCTTCATTGTTGCTAGGTTTGGAAGAAATTTGACTTACCTTTCCATTTTTAGGGGCGCTAAACTTTGTACTTTCAAGACCGCTACCCTTCTCAAAATTGGATTGAAATTGGCCAGGAAGTTACCTGGGGGGATTATTTGCAGCTCAGTCTCTAAATCCTCATTCCCATGTGAAACAAGTTTTCTGTTTTAAAAAACCCACCAATAATGAAGCAACTGTAGCTATTTAGCCTCAATAGCAATCATGAGTTGCAGTTAAATCTATATTTAGTAAAACAAGCTATACTAAGCACAGTATCTAGATTACAAAGAAGATTCAAAGTTGGTGTAATTAATTCTCCTGAATTTTCATGTCTGTTTTTAATGTTACACATGATTTCTGTTCCATCTGTTTTATCTCAAAGATCTGCATTGATAAATAGGGAAGGTAAAATTTATCAGAGAAATATCAACCTGTAATATACAGAAAATAGTGAAAATTGAACAAAATGAAATGACCAGTTGCATTGTCGGGTTTTTTTTTAGGAAAATGTAAATCAGACTAATGGTTTGCTGCCACTTTCTCCAGACTGATAAGTGAATCATATACAGCAGTATGTGAACACTTGAGTTTGCCTTTGAAATGTTTCTGATAGCTGATGATGGGGATGCCCCTGTGCCCTGGGCTGCTTTTAATAGCAACACCCAACAAAATCCCATATGTGCATACAGTCCCAGCCTGTTGGGACAGGCAGTGTTGTTCTCCTGCCTTGGCCAAATAATGTCATATTTCAAATTATGTGTTCATACTGAGTCACCGATGCACTGTTGGCCTTCTGCCGTGCGTAAGTTCCTTTACCGTGTTTCCTGAGCATTGATAATTTGCATGCCTGTGTGTAGTGTGGCAGACAGCAATGGTAAATGATAATGCTCTGGGATCAGAACTAGGGGCAAATGACAAGTGACGGGTTAGTTCAGTGCTAATTAGTTTCCTTTGGAAACTGCACTGGGGAAACTGGCTGTCTAGTTACCTTCCCTCTGCCCACATCTTGATGTCTCTTCATAGGATGGCTGCCTCGCTGTTTCCGCTCCTTCAAAGGGAATACTAGGAGTAGAAGGTAGGAGAGGGAGAAAAATGAGTGAAAAGGAAAAGACACAGGCATACAAAGGAGAGGAGGCACAACAGTGGAAATCCTTGAAAGCGAAGGCAATAGGCAGAATGGGGCAGAAGTGAGATGCCTAATATTCGTATTTGCTCCACCCCAAGAGGGGAGAGACTGATGTTCATGGAAGAGCAAACAACAAGTATGGATGGTTACTTTACAGGCCAGCCAGCTCTGATGCAGTTTTGGCCATTTGAGGCTGTAGACATCTGCATAGTGCTCCTTCACTTGCCCTCACTGCATTTACACGTGCTTCGTGAAATAGTGGTCTCTGTGTGATCCACACTCTCCCATTCCTGACATTTCAAAACTCTGTGGAGAGAAAGTGAGTTCCTCTTTCATTAAAAATAAATAAAGAAAAACTAACTCCAACACTACCACTACACAAGAAAACATGCTTAGCATATTTATATGTACATTCTTCAAGTATTGATGCTCTTGGCCACTTCTTACCTGTCTTTCAGCATAGATCACTACTATGTTAATATACCATGAGAAAGAGTTCCTTTTAAATCCTTGCACAAATAAAAGCTTTTGCATGGCAAATCCATTAATTCTGTCTTTACTTCTGGAGGATAAAAACATACAAGCACTGGAAAAAGCTCTTCTACTGTCTTTATTTGCTTTTATACTGAGCTTCTGTTTAAAAATTATTTTTATTTTACAGGTATTTTGAAAAACAGTTTGAGCTTTCAGAACAGACACAACTGCCCATGTTTCTCCACTGTAGAAACTCACACACTGAATTTTTAGGTGGGTTTTGTTTGAGAATTTCGTATTCAGAGCAAATTCACCTTTGTCTGTTATAAAGCTCTTTACATTTTTATTTATTTCATTTCATAGACATTATGAGAAGAAACCGAGATAGATTTGTAGGAGGGGTGGTAAGTATGGGCGTGAGTGTAGCATTCATTTTTACATGCATGTGTGTGAATATTGTTGCTTAACATGCAACTTCTTGTTTGTCACAGAATCTGGGTAGGCTTCCTGGTAGATTATTGAAGTTATTATTAATCAATAAATGTTTTCCAGTTCTTTCTAGTATTTTTATTTTTGTTGCTTATTCAACAGGTTTTTTGCAGAGTAAGAAGATAGGCTGAGAAAAAGCTCTGCAGCTGACGTGAGCAGTTTTTCTTGGCCTGTCGTAAGGACAGTTTAAGCACCTTATAATTGACATTGGCCTTTTTCCAGTTCTTCAGTGTGTGTAACTGCGGTGCGTTCAGACCACGGATCATTTAGATGCATGTTCCCAGTGGAAGCCATAACCTCAAACATTTGCTTCTGACGTTAGACATCGTTTTCAAATTAGATCCAGATGTAACTTTTGATTGCTTTATGTCTTTAGATATTCAGATCATGTATTTTAATTCAAAAGCATAACAGGAAAAACTTGGGATGAAATGGCTATGAAAGTCCAGAAACGCTCTTCGAGGTTGCCATTATGGCAGGATTTTCCAAAAGTAATAAATTATTGGATTATCCTATCCTACTAACACCAGACCATGCCTCCTACAATAATATCTCAGTCCCCAGGTTTCCCCTTTGTTATTGCAAAACCTTCCCCTAGCTCAGTACTTTGCATGTTGTGTTCTTACACAGTACTGTACAGTACTGTCTCTCTGTCCTTCCTTTCTCTTGTCTGCAAAACCAGTTAACTAGTGGAGACATGACGAGCAGAGCACCCGCTGTAACTGACTGTCCCCCTCACAGCAGGGGGAAGCAGACAGTCATCTTTGTTCCACTCAGGCAGAGAAGCTGCGGTTCCCAGATGCGTTACGCTTTTTGTACCTTGTGACCTACCACTTTAGTCCCTGGGATGACCAAATAGACTGTCTCTCTAGTTCCAACGGACTAAAATCTGTCGAGAACATAACACTGCTCTTACCATGTTCCTGACAGTGCCCTGTAGGGAATACTGAGGAAAGAAGGTAAAAAAATCAGCGTGCACAGGATTACTTCCTGTATGTGGTTTCCCAGCAGTCAGCTACAGGAAGTTCCTCGGCCAAAAGAAGTCACTAGATAGGCCTTTTCTACACATATTTATCACTTATAAAACGTGTTAACCACTTTTACAAGTGACTTCAGCCTGAACTTTGCCCAAATTCAGAATCAACTGAGCCATGTCCCATCTTTGTGTTTGTATTGATGTGTAATGCATACTATCAAAGGTATTTATGATGCAAATAGAAACTTATGTGTACTTTTAAATTATTAGAGTTTTACGTGAAGTACATATATATGTACATCTATATTTATATATATTCTAGGTACATTCTTTTGATGGCACAAAGGAAGAAGCAGCAGCTATATTAGATTTGGATCTTTATATTGGAATAAATGGCTGGTAAGTTCTTTACAAGAAATAAAACTATTTTAAAATGTCAGCTGTAGTGAACTCACTGCCTTCTTTTAAACAATGAGGTCAAGTTTTCAAAGTTCACTAGACTCTTAATCATCTGACAGATTTAGAATTGCACTCATCTGTTAGCCATGAAAAGTTCTTACAGCTCAGTGAGTTAATCTAGTCTTAGGTCCATTCTACTACCCTCAGGTCAATCCTTGTTAGTAAATAAAGGTTGTTGAAAGTAAGTGGTCCTTCTGAGAAGTGTTTAAAAAATAGTGTAATTTTAAGAAGCTGTGTCAAAACCAGAGATAATGCGAATGTAACCTGAGCAGCCTTATCTGCTGGTTACAATGTCTAAACTGTCAGCAGTCATCTGGCCAAAAGCCAGCCAGCACCACTTTGTAAGTTTCATGGCTTGCTGAGGCCAGGCAAGCATGCGCAGTGCAGGCAGGGGTCCTGTATGCTTGCTAGGGTGAGACAGCTTCACTGAGTTGTCTTTTTCTGCAAAGTTTGAATTTACAGGCAGCACTTTTATAATTAAGTGAATTTTATTCACTAACACAATTATTTAGGAAGCTGCCTTTGCTGTGAAACATATTAACAGGCAAAGTAATTACTTTTATACACATTTATTTTTTTTAACCAAACTCTGATTTTCTAGTTCATTGAAAACAGAAGCCAACTTGGAAACACTGAAATCAATTCCTAGTGAACGATTAATGATAGAGACTGGTAAGATTTTATATCTTGGTCAGTTTTTGACTTAGGCAATGGGACATGCTTGTGTAACAATGATAAGGCAGAATCAAGACCTAAGGAGTTCGGAACAGAAAAGGGACCGGCTGTTTCTCCACTTTGGAAGGCAGTTCACAGGCTCCAGGAATATTCCTTTCAGTCTTTTGCTGGAAGGAATAAAATGCCATGTCAGTTCCTGACACTGCAGGGAGAGATGAAAAGGACAAATTGACAAACCCAGATTGTTAAATGTACCTAGGTACCAGAATCCTGCTTGAGTATCTTTGAAAATCCAGCTTGCTGGAGAAGTGCTAAACAGAGCAGTGGCTATCATCTTGCCACTGGCAGCCATCACAGCGTTTGGAAGCACCTGCTCTTTAAATGGAATATTGTGGAATAATGCTTGAATTCCCCTTTGGGCCTACTGAACCTAATGAGTGAGTGATTTTAATTGACTGACTAGGGATGCCTTTTTTTTTTTTTTTAATGTTCATTTCATGGCAGTTATAAATACTGTATCTATTTTAATTTCTGAATCTGAGAAAGGAAAAACACAAACTGCCTAAATCCTTACATTTATTTGCCCAGGAAGTACAGACCTGTTAAGGTATACAGGAAGTTTCTGTGGAATACTTGTAGTGTATCTATCTTTATCATGTTGGAGGAGAGAAGTGTTATGTACTATTATTGCTGATTTTTTAAAATGTAAAATCTTGAAGGTAACAATATAAATATCCAAAGATTGTGAAGAAATTGCCCACATCTCTTAAATTCCATTTTGAATTGGAAGTCACTATTGAAAGAGATTGCAAGAACTTTTGGCTGTGGAAGCGGTTGCTTAAACTATCTCATGCTATTCTCGAACAATTGCATACTCTTCTGTTTTTTTCAAATGAAACTAGATGCACCTTGGTGTGGAGTGAAAAATACTCATGCTGGATCAAAATACATTAAAACTACATTTCCTACAAAAAAGAAATGGGAAATAGGGCACTGCTTGAAGGACAGAAATGAACCCTGCCATATAATGTAAGTGTACTACAGTAGTATTATTTTAAATCTTTCAAATCACACAGGAAAAAAAAAATTAAAAATCTGTTCACTGATGTAGTATCTAGAAATTAATTCTAAATTTATTGAAACTTGTGCAAGCTGTGGAAAAAATTTTAAAAGTCTTAATTTTCCAATTTCAGCAATTCTGGATGTAAAAAAGCTCTCTGAATGTGAAACCAGTACTGTTTTTATCTTTTGACTTGATACACTGGAGAAGGGGTTAAACCCTGTAAAGTAACCTGACTTGAATATCCATTTCACTGGGTGGTTGTTACAGTCATTTTGCAGACTGATACACACTGTGCAGGGGAGCTGTGCAGTCCTGTGCAGAGGGGCACTGCTGAGGCACCAAGTCGTGCCTTGTGCACGTGTATCCCAGTGCCTGTGACACCAACTGCCCTAACATGGATTTGGCTAGGGTCGTTTCTTCATTCTCCTACTGTGCCTAAAAAAAATTGATCTGTGAAGTTTAGTTATGAATAACAGCAGTAAACGTGCAGAATAGCAAAAGAAAACTCCAGGGGTTTATGAACAGAGTTAGAAAGTACAGAAACTGTTTTCAGCCACCTTTCCACACGCTTCCTTGCAGATGTGTGAAAAGCAGACAAATACATTGTTTTAGTGAAAAAGTTTAGTTATCTCTATTAAATAGAACTGACAGATTAAAGGATTTTTTTTTCCTGTGAAGTCTACATGTATTTCTATGAAAAGCTATATAAATTACCTGTTTGGAAGTAGCTTTTGAAATACTGCTCAGGATAGTACTGAAGAATCTAGGTATTCAGCAAGGTGTCTAAACAAGAGTTTATTTGATGAATTAAGGGAATTCTGCTGCTGTTTTGGGAGACCTGAAGAAAGTCTTAGAGAGGGAAAACCACTGATCATGCTAAAAGCACACTTTAAGCTTACATGGTGATACCTCATTGTGTTCACAAATATTTTATGCAGTTATGTCAATTTGTAATACTCTTTGAAACTGATTTTGTGTTTTAAATGTGAAGCACACACATTAGCACAAAAAGGCTCTTTCATTATTTTAAGACTTTCTAGGGTCAATTCATGATTTTGGAGTAGGAGAAGAGAGAAGTGAAAAGTTTTCTGATCAAAAGTGGAGGACCCCTACTGTTGCTGAGTGAGGCTATTTCAGCCAGCCTCTGTATGTTAACGACACCCCCATGTCTTTGCCTGCTGCCTTCAAACATGTTTCAGAAACCCCAGAACTGGAAATTCAGGGAGTCTGTCCTAGACGGGTATACAAATGCTATAGTTTTGGTTTCAGTTTCTTTTATAAAACAGAATCTTGTTTAATTTGACCTCATTTCAAAATTACTGTCCTTTAAAACATTAATTATAACCCATCCTAATTGTAGATTAGTAACCTGAGAACCTTGTAAACTTTAGGTAAAATGAGGTATGGTAACACAGACTTGATATTTTGTGACATCTCAAGTAGCAAGATCTGGTGTGAGGGGAAAGTTAGCCCCAGGCCACAAAGTATATTTACTGTTTAGGGTATATATACTCTTTAATATAGCTCAGTTGGCAGGAGGAATTTTCCACTTTTTTTGGCAGTGCTGGACACTGTTCAATGTTGGTGGTGGTATTTCCACTTCATATATGTTTTCAGAACTGCAGTACTTCCCTTGGAAGCTATTTTTTGAAGGCTTTTCTTTTCCTTCTGCAGTAATTCATATACACAGTGTTACAGTAACATGTAGCATCCTACTGCATCCAAGCAGGGATAGATATGTAAGCCCTACCCAGACTCTTCAAGGGTGAAATTCTTTTGTATTTGTTACTTCTGTGTGGGCCTGATCTCACCCCATCTCATCTTGAACATTCCCTTGAATCAAGAAGCTGTTTGGCTGCAAAATACAGGAGTGGCCATGAAAAGGGCTAATTCTGCATCTAGGAAAATATTTGCATTCCAGTAATTGTTAAGAGCAACTTTTTCTACTCCATTTTCCTCAAAAAGAAGTTTAGCTATTGCATAAGTTTAGAGGCAGGATCCAAAAACCAAAACCACCAAACTCTACCACCGCACACGAGGTTCTTACTCTTCATCATGAAATTGGTTTTTTTTTCCACTAGAAAAAAAAATGAAAGTATGAAGCATCTGGAAGTAAAAAGCATTAGGAACTGTACAGACTATTAATTTTTTCCAGAATGATCGATATAAAAATCAAGAAAATAAGTACAGAGAAAAGACTGTGGCTTGGTTTTCTGTTACTTATTAATATTATTCTTCCCGTTTCTTTTGCCTCCTTTTCCTGGCGTGTATCAAGACTGTGGGCCTTTTAAAATTGGTCATTTACCATTTACTGCAAATATCTGAACACATTAATCATAATTAATCTAGAGAACAGGGAAGCATGATTAAGTTCCTTTGGCAGCTATGCTCTCAGATAAGCCTGTATCTGGAAGTTAAGCTTTGCCGTAGACCAGTTTATTCATAGAGCATCTTTAGCCTTGAAAGGCTAACAAATTTCTGTCTGAGAAATTAAGACTATTGATAAAGACACCCCAAAAATGACACTTTGAACAGAAAGCTGTTTAATCACCTCAAAACAAAAGTCAAAAGACCAAAGATGAATCTGTACCAGTGAGCAACCAGTGTTCAACGTAAAGGGAATGGCAGTTAGTGACTTAAGAGTGAAGCTATTTGCATATCTGAGCACCCTGTGCCATTGCTCTCAGCATAGGTTTTTATTCCAGGTTAATGTTGGTGACTTGTACATACACATGCAGCAGTCTGAAGTACATTCAGTACTGAGTCTCAGACTCTTCTAATATCAATCTTTCTTTTTTAGTCAAATACTGGAAATAATGGCGGCAGTAAGAGAAGATGACCCACTTGAGTTGGCCAATACTCTATATAACAACACTATTAAAGTCTTCTTTCCAAATATATAAAGTTGTTTTTCTTACATTTATTCAGCATAACTTTAGCAAATATATTGCAAAAACTTAAAATCTGCAAGTTCTTATCAATGGAAGCCAGTATGTAGTGCTTTTTTTTTTTTTTTATGGTACAAGATTAAAGCTGCTTTTGAAAAGGTGTTCTGCATTTGTGCAGTTTCTCAGCCCTGTTTCCCTTTCATGAAGATTCAAGATCAATTTCAAGGATAGCCCAAACGAGCAACTCCTATTAATACCTGTATGCATTACACATTGAATACCAGGCTGCTGAGTTCACCTGTAGAGCACTTCAAGCTGCTACTGGTAATTCAGAAGTGTTTAACACATCAATGGCATGCTTTACTACTTCACCAGAAAGCTTAGCAGTTTCATCTTTAGTTCCACATATGCAAATGCTATAACATCAGCAACCTACATTTTTATGTATTTTATTTCTTAAAATCACAACTCACTAGTTTTTAGTAATAAAGCTCTGCTAATACTGGATTTGTAATTAAAGCTGCTTTGGTTCAGGCTTTTCATTTGTGATTAAAAAAGTCTGTTTTCACCAGTATTTTTCCATTTGCATCCAGAACTCATTGACGGGGGATTACTGGTATACAGTCTTTGGCACAGCATTATCACTACATCAATTAAAGAGTGTTTTTCCAACTGTCTTAAAAACATGTGAAAACATTTTATTCCATGTACAATAATGTACACAACTTTAAGGTGGTCATGAAAGAGACCAGCAAAAATTAGAGGTATATTTACAGTAGCACACACCACAGTAAACAACCACCCTTCACACACTCAACATCGAGATACTGTTGTTGTGCTTAAGTACAATAACTACAAAGTGATACTTTTATTCTGTTGAAGTCAATCTTCTAAACAAATACCTCACGGCTTGGTAAAGTACACCTTAATCACCAAGAGAGTTAGAGTCAACGTTAAGAGTCTCATTCAAGTGCTGTGCCACACAGGCATCATCTTCCTCATCACTATCAGAACTGTCATTACCTTCATTTAATTCATTTTCAGCATCAGCAGCTTCTTCTGCAGCTTGTACAGGATTTTCATTTGGTGCCACAAACCCATTGTTGTTAGAGATATTGGCATTTTCCTTGTCCTCAATATACACTTTCTGATGGCACATCGGGCAAGTGTCCTGGATGTACAGCCACTTCCGAAGACAAAGTGCATGAAAGTAATGGTTGCATGGAGTAATGCGAGCAGAGGTGGTGAACTCATGGTAGCAGATTGCACAGACATCATCTATTTCATGTAACCGACCTCCTTTTACCTCTGGAAGCGAGTTTATTTTCTTAACAGCAGTCCGGCGATTTATAAAAGTCTTCCAGCCATTCTTTGCTTGCAAGTAGATGTTGAAGTATGCATGTAGACACATCATGCAAGCACGAATCTTGCTTCCCGATTCAAAAACCATTGTGTAAGCTCCATTTCCAAACATGATGACTCCAAATATAAACTCAATAATATTGCCAGTTGAACGAACATAATAGACATAGTCATCAAGTTTTTCCCATAGCACATTATAGTAGCCATCAATCATAAACAGTATATAAACAGTGATAGAAACTATTACTTTTAGGCAAAGCTCTACACAGAATGCAGTAACTGCAAAAAGCCACGTATTTAGTGCGTAGTGGTGCCAGAGAATGTAGCTGAGCAGAACTGGAAGGATGAAAAGGCAAGCGGAAACAAATAGTACAGGGAAGTGTCTGCGAAATGATGACACATGGGAGGCACTGAGAGACATCAGCACGGGGTCTGTCATTCCATGGATAAAATGCAGGACTGCTGTCAACAAAAGGCACATGTTTCGACTCAGGCGAACTAATCTTTCTTCTGGTTTCAGTCCACTTAAACCAGTCTGCAGAGCCAAAATGAAAAACAAGACGGGTGCCACAAAACCAAGCCTTTTGTCATCCTCATCAGTTGATCCAATGAAGGCCAAGATCCCAAGTCCCAAATAATGCGCTACTGAGGAAATGACAGCACTCATGCCCAACACAGTTAAAGTAGAGTCACACCCACTTATGATCAGACTGCAAATCAGTTCCCAACAGTTATCCCATGATATCAAGAAGAATTTTTCTTCTGTATTAGTTTCAGACATCTTTACAACGTATGTTAATACCACAGCTTGTGCTGTAAGTCTCGTTAGCCAGAAGACACGCAGTACAGCTGGAAACCGAATCCTTTTCCATGTATCTTCCATCAATAGCTGTAATCCATAAATGCGATACATGTGCCTCACCAGCAGATAAACATATCGCACCGAATAATAGAACCATTTAATTTTCGTAACTAAGATGACTGTGGTGCTTAGCATGAGAACTAGACCTGAAATAAAAACTAGCATCTGCCGGGCATCTAAAGGTAATTCAACAACCAACCCAATTACAGGAATCAGTATATCCAGGATGATGAGTTGAGAGTATATGGACTGCACGTTCAGCAATGTAACATATCCTATTCCAAAGGTAAGCTGAAGGATGGAAAGTGCCATCCATAGTGAAGGTCCTTTATGAGGGAAGATCTGAATTCCGAATGCAGCTGTGTAGTAGGCACTGTAGAAGTTTATGTGCAAAGCAGCATAGTAATTCACCAACACTGAAGTCGCAGCCAGCAGGAACGCCAAGGCGATCATATAAAACTTGAAAAGTGCTCGCTGTTGTAAGACCAGAACAACGCTGGATAGAAAGACACCTGAAAACAGATTGAAATAATTTAGTTCTCAGCAGAAATTCGACAACTGATTTTAACCTAATAGCTTTAGAATTACATTTATTTACTGTATCGCTTCCCAGTTAGTCACTTGTAACTTTACCAATGGTGCCCTTTTCAGAGAACAGACAAGAGTATGACAATCTCTGCATGTAATCTATCTGTGTGCTGCAGCTGCGATGCAAAGCTGATGCAAGCATTAAGTCACAATTACTGTTAAGTTCATCTGCAGTTTCAGACTAGAGCAGTGATAGCTCCCAGCCTTTCAGCCTTACACTTGAAATCTAAGAGTAACCAAGTTCTAAAAGCAGAAAAGAATTACCAGATATAGCATCACCTTTATAGGCAAAGTCAATAAATAAGTAAAATTCACTAAGTCCCCTAATTCACTTGAGCAAAGCACTCGACTACAAATGTCCCAGCTGGAGTACTGAAGATGACAGTCACCAAAACAGTTTAGCTAAACCCTTTAATGGGAAAATACTTGAAAAAATGCTGTAGTTTACTGTGAGGGGAGGGCACTCTTCTTCCAATTCCTTTCAGTTTGTATCAAGATACCTTATCAGAAATTAAAGCAAAAGTCTCAAGGAGAAGACCTTCCGCAACATGAAGCTTTTGTACACAGAATCCAAAATGGCACCAACCACCTCGTTGCCAATGCCAGTGTGAACTTGGGTCTTACTTGTTAGAACTCAGATTTAGATCTTGAGTTTCCTGTTTGCTAACCTTCCCCTCATACTGACCGTGAACACATCTTGACCATGACTGGAAAGTCTGCACCTTCCGATGAGAAATCCTATCATAGCATCTATAGTAGCTTGGCATTACATTTATGACCTTGCAGTAAACTTCTGTAGTGTAGCCTATGAATTGCATCACTATTGTACTAAATAGGTAAGGGCTCTGCCCTAACAGATGTTAAATTAAACTGCACTTAGTCCTAGACTCACTTCCTTAAACATTTTTTTCTTCAGGAAACACACTGCCTTTGTTTTGGGCTTCTCAGTCGGCTTCCAGTCAATGCAACTGCTTTCTCACCCAAACCAGTTTGGAGAGATTTTGATCTCTACAACTTATATTTGTAAGTTGGTTTCAATCTCTGCACTAAAACTAATGAAATCTCAAGTAATCCTCTTTCCACCGGAGGATAGCATCAGTCTTTTCTGATGATTGTATTTTAGATTGTTCCAAATCCTCCATAATGAAGCGTTCAAAAAAAAAAATTAAGCCATGGTATCTTTATCATGGGGATAAACACCTTTGCTAAGAACCACCATTTGATTCCACCAGTATCAACCAATACTGTTACCAGTTGCTTGTATCAAAGAAAAAAAAATTAAAAAAAAAAACAAACAACAAAACACAAACCAAAACCCCAAACAAATAAAAAAACCCAACAAACCCAAAAACCTCACCCTGGAAGACTTGAATGAAAAGGGAGAGGGTCAACATGAATCAACAGCAAAAGGCAGACTACCAGAGAAGCTATTAATGCCCCTTAACAGTATTCCTTGCCAGGAGCATTGGCTGATATAAAAACATTCTCCTTAACTAATCATTAACCTCGTAACCTTGTGAAGTTCACTGAGAAAAAGGCTCAGTTTTCAGAGAGAGCATTGTATCATAGCTCAGTTTTTCCATAAAAAGCTGAATATTTGTTCCAGGCAGCACTTTTTTTAAGATTAGCTTGACAGTTCTACTGCCTTTTCCTGCATATCACCATGAACACCTATGGGAAAGCTAGCATTGCTGACAAGGTTGTACCCTTTGTCTTTTCTCTCAAGTCACAAAAAAAGGCTCAAGTGACTGTAGCAAGCTCATTCTTTACAGAAGTCTGATCTGATCATTTCAGCCAAATGAGATGCATTTTTGCACTAAGCAGGCTCTGCTGAAACATGCCTGTTAACAAAACCTATTTTTCTTCCTTGCAGTTGAGGTAACAGACCTGTATTTAGATACCATCGGTCACCCTAAAATACTGACGTTTCACATGCAAGACACATCCCTAAAAGCAGCACCACAATGAGTCAATAGAAAAGCTAGGCCTACTGGTTCCTCTCAAGAGGGACTAACAAAAGGTAAAGCATTTCTCTGTCAACACTTGTGTGGAAAAGTCAAGACCCTCCCCACCTAAGGAGCTTCAAAAGACTACAGGAGGTAACTCAAATTTGGGAAGGGGAGGTCAATACTCCTCTCCCCCCATCTCCATTTGTCAGTCCATCTTGCCATGACGAGACTTCCCCCTGCCCTGCAAAGAGCTCACCAGACAGTAAATCTTTTCCCATTCTCCCTCTGATAGGAAATGCTGCAGTTCCTCCTTTTGTAAGATTTGTCTCATGTTTCTATATATGATGTTACTCATCTTCACTGTTCCCATCTATGCCACCCCATCAC